TAGTCAGCATCTTACCATTGTAGTGATTGTTAGTAGATCCAGTCGCTGTAGATACTACTTTAGTGCAACTGATAGGATCATCAACAGGACACTATAGATGAAGGCACTCATCTTCTTTCTTAATAATGTTTTTGCTGCTAGTGATGTGTGTGCTCTTCTAATGTTTTGTTGTTTACATTAGTTTTTGTCTACACATAACGTTATAAGTTCTTGTAACCATGCATATGTTATCTGATGCTCACAAATGATGTGCAGGTTTAATTTTCCATATCATATCAATGTTTTCCATATTAGGTTTTTATATCAATGCTAGACTTTTATGCACTCATGAGAAAATAATTTTTACCTTCATAATTGAAAGAACAAGTTTCTTTTTAATTTTAATGTTGTATAGCTTTACTTTTTAGCAGATTAATGGCTACAAGTATCTATGAGGCATTCAACCAAATTATCAAAGTATAGATATATTATAAAACCATACAATACTTGTAAATGACCCACCATAAGCCTTATTCTGTATTTTGGCTTACATTTAACTAAAACAAGAGAGTTTTATATTAAAGAGCAACATGAATAATCATTCAAATTAATTATATAGTTTGAGTGTGTTTAGTTAAATAATGAACAAGTCATGATGAATCCAACATGGAGTCATATTACTGGAGGCATATCATCAAAGGGCAATAAGGTAAGAGAAAAAAAGAAAGTGTAGTGACCGAGAAGGAAAGGTAAAGAGAGGTCTCGCGGGAATCAACAAACGAATTTGTCAATAAGTTAAAAACTTCTTCTTAAAACTGAAGAATACACACACTTAAATACACAGAAATCAATTGCATCATAATACATCACTGACACACATTGCATAATATTACATAACACTAGAAAGGAATCTTAATCAACAATGCATACATTATATAACCTACATAAGAAATGAAAATAAGTACAGAAATAATAATTAGGAAAAATGATAATAATGATAATACAATACATGCCTAGGAAAATAATTATAAATAACCATACATTAACATTATCAGTTATAACAGAAAGAATGTGAAGTAGACTAATTCTAATTTTCACTGTTTAGATTAGTTGCTGTAGCATTGGGACGATATAGCAAAAGCATTGCTACTGGATTGGACAGTGTAACTGCTTGGAACAACTCTTCAGTGGACTGGACTATGGCTGCAAGAGTAAGATATCATATGTGATAGTAACATGATAGTCTCATGACACTATGCGTGTATAGGCTCACTGTCATTATCTTGTTTTGAAAGCTTTCCATTCAAGTATAGATGCAGCTAAAGTGTGTGAAGCTAATTTTAATATATTGAGAGTTTTGTGTTGCTTGTTTGGACTTCATGGTATAATACAGTACAGTGGAGAATTCTGCTTGGTAAATAATGTACATTATACTGTGATCATTGCGAATGAACTGTTATTTTAGGATGGTTATATGAATAGTGATCAAATTGAAATGGCTAAAAATCAACTTTATTCTCTACTGAAGGAAGTCAGGTAAATTATTTTACTGCATGCTTTCAACTACATGTATCAGGATTCTCTCTACTTCAGATATGAAGCAGTTCCTTTGGTTGATGCATTTGATATTCATGATGATATATTAAACTCATCTCTTGGTCGTTATGATGGTGATGTTTATGGACACTTGTATGAATGGGCACTAAGAGCTCCTCGGAATAAGAAAGAGGTTTGATACATTGTTATGATGTATTGTTGATAATGGTGATTTATTGTGTAAAGAATTGCATCATGAACTTATGTACATGTAAGTGCTTGCATGGTTGTGCTAAAAATTAAGGTTCAGGCAAGACAAGTCCTGCTATAAACTTAGCAACTTTAGCTTGTTTGGTGGCCAATTAGTATGTGTGTGTTAGGTACATTCAAAACTTCAAAAGTACAAAGCTATTTTTATTTTGTCCTCTTTTAATTATGACACTTAATGGAATTTTGGCATGTGACATTGGCCATCAAAGGGTTAATGCTATTATTAAAAGTGATTTTTGATTATTTTTATTAGGTCCATGATAATTATGAAAAATACTTAAAACCGCTTTTGAAGAATACAAAGTCCAAGTTGTGATAGTTTTCTAAACTAATTTTATTTGAAATAATTACGTTTTAGTACTAAAATAAGCTACAATTGATGTCCATGTAGGCTAATTTATAAAATTATGTGAAATTGTGCTGCTAATATTCAATAAATAGTAATTTTTTTCATTAGACACATCATTTGCTCTCCTTTCTCATTGTAAGCAGTTACTTCGCCATAATACTGACCCTATGAAGTAAAAATAATAATAATGATACACTGTAATTGTTACTCACTGGCCAAAAGAGCTTTGGTATTGTTTCACTAGCACCTATATGATATATTCCTGGCTGTATTGGACAATGCTCCGTAATCATGTCGACAAAAAAGTCGCATAAATTAAATTGCTCATCAATGAAAGTAATATTAGTATAATTTTTGAAGTTATGTGTCAATGTGGCATGCAGTATACCCCATTGTATGGTTCTCTCTATAAATAGATTCTTGTTTATGTTAAATCATTGTCACTCACTGATTTGTAGTGATCCTTTCCAATAACTCATAATTCCATGTTTTAGTGGGACTGGAGTTATTGATATATTACTAATTTGACCAAATTTCTTAGCAACAGCTTTAAATTGATAAAGTAAATCCACAACAATGTGCCACTGAACTTACAACAATCTATGAATCCTTTGTTATCAGTAGGTTCTTGTTGTTATAGTATACGTAATTCAAACAGGTATTATCGATTAGTATAGTAGTCATTATCTTACCATTGTAGTAATTGTTAGTAGATCCAGTCAATGTAGATACTAGTACAACTGATAGGATCATCAATAGGGCATTCATGTTCTTTCTTGGGGCATTCATCTTCTTTCTCAATAATAATGTTTTTGCTGCTAGTGATGTGTGTGTTCTTCTAATGTTTTGTTGTTTACATTAGTTTTTGTCTACACATAACGTTATAAGTTCTTGTAACCATGCATATGTTATCTGATGCTCACAAATGATGTGTAGTGTTTTCCATATTAGGTTGATATCAATGTTAGACTTTTATGCACTCATCAGAAAATAATTCTTACCTTCATAATTGAAAAAACAAGTTTCTTTTTAATTTTAATGTAGTCTAGCCTTACTTTTTAGCAGATTAATAGTTATATGTATCTATGAAGCATTCAGCCAAATTATTGAAGTACATGTAAATCCATACAATACTTGTTAATGAGCCATCATAAGCCTTATTATGTATTTTGGCTTACATTTAATTCTTAACTTAAAACAAGGGAATTTCATATTATTATAGGAGCAACATGAATAGTCATTCAAATTAATTATAGTTTGAGTGTGTTACGTTAAATAATGTAACAAGTTATTCATGATGAATCCCACACGGAGTCATATTACTGAAGGTATATTGTCAAAGGGCAATAAGGTAAGAGAGAAAAAAAAAGAGAATGTGAAGTAGACTGATTTCTAATTTTTAATGTTTGGATTAGTTGCTGTAGCATTGGGACGATATAGCAAAAGCTTTGCCACTGGATTGGACAGTGTAGCTGCTTGGAACAACTCTTCAGTGGACTGGACTATGGCTGCAAGAGTAAGATATCATATGTGATAGTAACATGATAGTCTCATGACAATATATGTGTGTATAGGCTCACTGTCATTATCTTGTTTTGAAAGCTTTCCATTTAAGTATAGATGCAGCTAAAGTGTGTGAAGCTAATTTTAATATATTGAGAGTTTTGTGTTGCTTGTTTGGACTCCATGGTATAATACAGTACAGGGGAGAATTCTGCTTGGTAAATAATATACATTATACTGTGATCATTATGAATGAACTGTTATCCTATAGGATGGTTACATGAATAGTGAACAGATTGAAATGGCTAAAAATCAACTTTATTCTCTACTAAAGGAAGTCAGGTAAATTATATTACTCCATACTTTCAACTACATGTATCACAATGCTCTCTACTTTAGATATGAAGCAGTTCCTTTGGTTGATGCATTTGATATTCATGATGATATATTAGACTCATCTCTTGGTCGTTATGATGGTGATGTTTATAGACACTTGTATGAATAGGCACTAAGAGCTCCTCGGAATAAGAAAGAGGTTTGATACATTGTTATGATATATTTTTGATAACAGTAATCTATTGTTTAAATAACTCCATTACGAACTTATGTAAGTGCTTGGTTATGCTAAAAATTAAGGTTCAGGCAAAACAAGTACTTGGCAAAATTAGCTTATTTTGTTGCCAATTATATAGATATATTCAAAGCCTCAAAAGTACAAAGCTTTTTTTATTTTGTTCTCTTTTAATCTTGACATGTGACATTGGTCAATGCTATTATTAAAAGTGTTTTTGATTATTTCTATTAGGTCCATGATAATTATGAAAAATATTTAAAACCACTTTTAAAGAACACAAAGTCCAAGTTGTGACATTTTTCTAAACTGATTTTATTTTTATTAATGATGTTTTAGTAATACAATAAGCTACAATTGATGTACATGTAGACTAGTTTATTATCATTACATGAAATTGTGCTGCTAATATTCAGTAAATAGTAAATAGTAAATTTTTTCATTAGACATATCATTTGCTCTCCTTTCTCATTGTAACCAGTTACTTTGCCATAATACTGACCCTATGAAGTAAAAATAGTGATAATGATGCACAGGAGTTCATGATGGAGGGGGGGGGTCCCCCTACATCATGGACTCCTGTGATACACTGTAACTGTTACTCACTGGCCAAAGAAACTTTGGTATTGTTTCACTAGCACCTATATGATATATTCCTGGTTGTATTTGACAATACTCCTTAATCATGTCAACAAAGAAGTCACATAAATTAAGTTTCTCATCAATGAAAGTAATATTAGTATAATTTTTGAAGTTATGCGTCAGTGTGGCATGCAGTATACCCCATTCTATGGATCTCTCTATAAATGGATTCTGGTTTATGTTAAATCATTATCACTCACTGATTTGTAGTGATCCTTTCAAATAGCTCATGCATAATTCCATGTTTTAGTGTGACTGGAGTTATTGATATATTAATGAATTGAGCAAATTTCTTAGCAACAGCTTTAAATAGACAAAGTATATCCACAACAATGTGTCACTGAACTTACAACAATCTATGAATCCTTTGTTATCAGTAGGTTCTTGTTGTTCATAGTATATGTAATTCAAACAGGTATTATCCATTAGTATAGTAGTCAGCATCTTACCATTGTAGTGATTGTTAGTAGATCCAGTCACTGTAGATACTACTTTAGTGCAACTGATAGGATCATCAACAGGACACTATAGATGAAGGCACTCATCTTCTTTCTTAATAATGTTTTTGCTGCTAGTGATGTGTGTGCTCTTCTAATGTTTTGTTGTTTACATTAGTTTTTGTCTACACATAACGTTATAAGTTCTTGTAACCATGCATATGTTATCTGATGCTCACAAATGATGTGCAGGTTTAATTTTCCATATCATATCAATGTTTTCCATATTAGGTTTTTATATCAATGCTAGACTTTTATGCACTCATGAGAAAATAATTTTTACCTTCATAATTCAAAGAACAAGTTTCTTTTTAATTTTAATGTTGTATAGCTTTACTTTTTAGCAGATTAATGGCTACAAGTATCTATGAGGCATTCAACCAAATTATCAAAGTATAGATATATTATAAAACCATACAATACTTGTAAATGACCCACCATAAGCCTTATTCTGTATTTTGGCTTACATTTAACTAAAACAAGAGAGTTTTATATTAAAGAGCAACATGAATAATCATTCAAATTAATTATATAGTTTGAGTGTGTTTAGTTAAATAATGAACAAGTCATGATGAATCCAACATGGAGTCATATTACTGGAGGCATATCATCAAAGGGCAATAAGGTAAGAGAAAAAAAGAAAGAATGTGAAGTAGACTAATTCTAATTTTTACTGTTTAGATTAGTTGCTATAGCATTGGGACGCTATAGCAAAAGCCTTGCCACTGGATTGGACGGTGTAGCTGCTTGGAACAACTCTTC